TGGGATAAAAAGCTATATGGTAACAAGGTTATTTTTGTCCTCATCTGTAAAATAGTTCATTGATATCATAAATGAAATTATCAATATATATATACAATCTTTTTCAGTTCATTAGTTTTGGCCTTGTACAACACTGATGGTATATCCCTCAACAAGTCTTAATCAAATTAACAAAAGAGAATCGATAAAAACATATTTTGCCTCATCTTGAAAGAATAAGAGATACCATTATTTTCTATTAAGAACTCCCCAAACAAACAGAAAAATAGAACCAAAGAAGAGAAAGAAATACATTATCCAGTTGCCTAGCATCTCCTTTTATTTTATTTTTCTACTTTGTTATTTCTCTTTGAGTGGTCTTTTATGTAGATGACATATCATCAAATAAGGAAAAAAGAAAAAACCCATGAGTGAGGGACGCGAACTTTATTTAATTTCCACTTTTAGGAAAGGAACCTATTGTGCAATTTGTTTCATGGACTCGAATCTGCGGCCCTTGTCAGAAAACTTTGTGGTAGCATAAAACTTCAGGTAATCTTGAAAGCGGACATGATTGGGGTATAAGAGTCTGGGAGCTGGTGAGATAATTGCATCACCAGCAGGATTATAGAAGGTAGCAATGGACAGTCGACTTCCATTTTTGTCTGCCATGACACGGTGCAAAACACTTTTGTACCTTCCATTACTCAACACTTCCACTTGGTCACCTATGTTCACAAAGATTCTGTTGTTCTTGGATGGTGGAATTGCAACCCATTCTCCATCTTTGAAGAATTCAAGACCTGGAACTTGGTCATCTTGGAGCAAGAGTATGATCCCACCAGCATCAGTGTGCTCTCGAAGTCCTCTCACAAGTTCTGGCTGAGGACATTGAGGGTACTTTGCAACTTTTGTCCCCACAGAAGGACCCTTGCCAGCACAGAATGCATCCTTTATATAAACCTTCTTCAAACCAAGATTCTCGCACATGAGCTCAGAAAGTTTCTCTGCCATCTTAATAAGCTGAGGAATGTACTCATTCATTGTTATGCTGCACATATGATTTGAAGTGTCATTTTACAGTTCATAAGTTATGATTTCTTCCAATCCTATGGTTATGTGACTTACCGAAGATCGTCTGAGAGGTTTGGAATATCTTCAATATTAGATGTGGGGCGATGCCAAATGAAAAAGGAGCTTTCCCAGTCTTTTTCAGAGGTAATATCTTGCTCTAAGCTTTTAGCCATCTCTGACTTATAAAAGCTCTCTTTCAAATTTTCCTCATAGTATTTATTTATCAATTGCTTCACTTTCTCCATCAGCTGTTTATCAATTCCATGGTTCTCAACCTGCAAATGTTAAGCAATATATTTGTCAAAACGATGTGAAATACATGTCCATTTAGATATGAAAATAGAAAAAGGAAAGGAAAAACAGAATTTTCTTTACTTGAAAGAATCCCCATTTCTCACAAGCTTGGTGCAGAAGATCCATCGTTTTGCTCCTTTCTTCCCCATTGAGCTCATCAAAGTCTATCACAGGGATTCCCATCTCCTTCATTTTCTCTAATCCTGATGTAGAAGATAGGTTATACAATGGAGTATATATAGGCCCAGAAATTATCATAATTACCAATATTATAATAATATAGAGGGTAGTTAAATTACAAGATGTGGCAGTTACAGATTAACCTCGTTGAAAGGAGACTTTCTTGGATGCCTTGAAAAGAGCAAAATTTCCAGTCCAAGTTCAACTGCCAAAAACCCCATGTGAATAATTTTTTTTCTAAAATCTATTCTGACCAACAAGTCAATCAAGATCTTTCTCTTAAACAAAGTCTTGTTTCTTTCATTTTTGCAAGAAAAAAACTTTCCCTGATTAAGTTAAATTATCTCTCTTGTAACCCCATGTGTTCATATGGTTTCTGTCAAGTGGGCTTTATTATATGCATATTTTTGTAGGGCATTACTCTGGTCAGTTGTTTTTGCATTGTAATTCTTCGTTTAAGCAAAACTAGGGGCAGTTTGACCCTGAATGAATTGCCATTCAAACAGGGAAAGAAAAACTGGGGATTGAGAAACTCTGCCAGTGGGCGCTTTTGTCTGAAAGTTGTTGCAGGTAGCTATCAGGCAATTGGATACTTCCAAGTCAAGCCCACAACTGAACCTTAATCACTATTAAGAAACGGTTTAGTTATTAACCTTTGTGATTATGCAGCATGTCATGTGTTTTGTTTAATAAGGATCTAATTTGAACTTAATTTGAGAACTTATATATCTGCCCCTTGATCTGATATGGACAGCTAGGATGTATATCGACTGTTCGTATCTCATTTAATATGCAAAACCCTGAAGTTAAATTCTCATTAATTAAATTGCCTATTATAAAATTGTTATAGGCTATCTCTTGCAGATGTGAAGTAGCAAATTGTTTGGATGTTCAGCAGCATATGTTGAGCTCCAATCCTTGGCTTGCAGTAACAGTTAATTGTTGTGATACATCAGAACAGCTTGATGAATATCTTAAGTTAAATGTGCTATTACATTGTATCACGCCCACAGATTTCATTTGCCAAATTTTGTGAAGTATTTTTCTTTGTAAGCTTGTCATTTTGGAGATTTGTTTATCTTTGTAAATGTTTTATGCCCATATTTTGTGAGGTATCTACAGACATATCTGACATATTAAATTTAATCCACTGAGTTGTGTTGTGCCTTAAAAAATAGGCTTTTTATCACAAATGGTCCTTGACATTTACGAAATTATCACGAATGGTCCTTGAGGTTTTTTTGTGACACTAATAGTCCTTAACGTTTGGACTTTTTATCACAAATGGTCCTTGACATTTACGAAATTATCACGAATGGTCCTTGAGGTTTTTTTGTGACACTAATAGTCCTTAACGTTTGGACTTTTTATCACAAATGGTCCCTGTCATCAAAAATTCTATTAAGTGTATGATGTGGAAGATAAGTGGAGCCCACATGTCCAATCACATCGTGACATATAGATTAAATAAATAAATAAATATTTTTTTGATGAAAATCCATTAAAAAACCATTTAGCCTCTCTCTCTCTCTCTCTCTACATGGGTCACCGAGAGAATAAGAAACTGTTCTCGGAGCTCGTCATGTGCTTCTTCTAGATGTCTGAACTGCCCCTTCTTCCATTTTAGCTGAACTTGAACCTTCTGATTGGCCTCCTCTAGTTTGAGTATGACATCATCTCTCTCTCTTAGTTCTTTGGGTGCATTAGCTTTCTTCTCTGCTTCAGAAAATTTCTTCGGTGAAACGGATAGACGGCCTTTAAGGCCTTCAATCTCTTCTCTATATGCACGGATTGTTTTCTCTTGATCCATTTTCTTCTCATTTGCTTCAATTTCTCTACAATTCATCCCAGGCTTTTCTTGGTCTTTGTTTATTTGAAGAGCATGATGAACTTAAGCTTGAACTTGGTCTTCGGGATTGAAAAACTTGAAGAATAGAGAGAGAGAGAGAGAGAGAGAGAGAGAGAGAGATTGAGGCTAAATGGTTTTTTAATGGATTTTTATAAATAAAAAAATATTTATTCATTTATTTAATCCAAATGTCACGATGTGATTGGACATGTGGGCTCCACTTATCTTCCACATCATACACTTAACATAATTTTTGACGGCAGGGACCATTTGTGATAAAAAGTCCAAACATTAAGGACTATTAGTGTCACAAAAAAACCTCAAGGATCATTCGTAATAATTTCGTAAACGTCAAGGACCATTTGTGATAAAAAGCCTAAAAAATATTTCAAACATCATTCCCAAGAATGAATCAAAGGGCAGCCCATGCTTGAAGGTACTGGAAACGAAGCAGATACATGTAGCTTGGTTGAAGGGGTTAGACAGCAACTGTGTGAGAGCAAGTGGAGGTTAAAAATTAAATAAATTGTTATGTACAAAGGAATTTTTCGACATATTGCATTATGATTTAAGAAAACAAAACAAAAAATTTATAATAAAAAACCTGCCAGTGAAACATTGGCCCAAAATCGATACGATCAAATAACATTGACCATTTAATCCAATTATTTTAAAAAAATGTAAAAATACTGCTAGACATTGAAAGTCAAGTTCCATGGCAATCCAAATTGTTTTGGGAACCCTTATTTTCTAATGTCCATTTTTATTATCATTCATGTTACTGTAATTTTGAATTTCTTTGAAGACTCTGCCTATTACTTAGACTAGTTGAGAGATTGACTTAGTCTTTCTTGCTCTAGCATATCTAAAAGTCAGAAGACACCCCAAAACCATCAAATTTTACTTTTCTTTGTTGGTTTCTGACCTTACAAGTCACTTGGTTCTTAGTTGTTTGGGAGAGAATTTACATTTGTGAAAGATGTCGTGATTTACGATTTAAATCATAACAGAGAAAAACAATCTTCCATTCTTATGGTAAAGATTGACCAAATGATAAATAAATTCTTGCTTACTTCATTTAATATCTTGCCCATAGTATTTGAAGGGAAGGAAATTAAATTTCTATCAGAATACATAAGGAGAAACACTTAATTCAATTCAGTAGAACTGTAGCTCATACTATTTTAAATGACGATTTCACATATTTAGCGGCATTTTACAAGCTTTAGTGACGAATTTTAGGTCTTTAATTTGGTTTACCGTATTTAGCGACGTTTTATTCTGTTGCTAACCGTTGTTAAGCGTTGATTAAAAACATTTTTAGAAGCGGTCTGAAAAACCGCCGCTAAAAGTCGAAAAGAAAACTGAATCATCCAATCCCACCTTTTGGGCAGTGTTTTGTTCATTCAGCAACGCAATTTTAGGAATCTCCGCATGTTTGGAAAAGAACCATTTCTCATATGGTCCGTACTTATATATATTTGTCAAAAAATTTGCTCAAATTGAAGTCTTCTATTTGGTGTTTTTCTCTGATGAAAAGATTGTGCAGATATTAAATAGTTTTTATTTTCATTTTAACATCATTTGATATCCCAATTAATGGTAATGGAAATAAACAACTAAATGAAATCACTGAGGGATAGTATTCTCAGATCGAAAAGAGAGAGTCCAATGCCCATCCAGGACCACCTCGTGGTTCAGACCAAAAAAAAAAAAAAAAAGAGTCCAATAACCAAAGGGTCTCGTACGGATTAGTAGATGAAGTACTCGTTTCGAGCAGATTTCCACCTCAGAAAACAGCAATAAAAAAAGCAGCCAAAGTGCTGAAATAAAAAAGATCAAGGTATCAACATATCGCAAACGCAGACTAATGCCAAGGTTAAAAATCACAATGGGCATACGGACGAGCATTAGAAGGCACCAGAACACCAGGTGAAATAGAACTCCAAAAGCTATCAAATAACATACGAAGCACACCATAATATACTGAATTCGATATCATGCCAAATACAACCAACCAGAATGAAGTAACCGATACACACCAACAAAGCATGGGATGGAAAACTCAGACGCAGATTGTTATGAAGGTCCGAAATGAAAACGATCCACGTATTACAGCTCATTTTCATAATATGACTCGAGCAAAACGCAGTAAGAAAAGCCTCAAGATGTAAAGGATTCAACATCCCGAGAACTTAAATTTATCCAAGAACTTAGATTTAGGCTTTCCTAGCTGCAATGCTATTGTTTGTGTTATTTGAACTATTTCAGTTCTTTTTTCTTTCTTGCTCACAGCATTTATGCTGACACAGTGATGCCAAATACTTCCCCTCCAACTAGTCAAGGAAAGAAACCATATAAAAACAGAGCCCAGAGGTCAATCTGAAAACTATCATAGGGAATAACTTATTGGTTACATCAAATATTTTGAAACTTCATTATCATTAAGGAAATTGAAAAGGGTGACCCAATCTTGAAATTGTGAACTTTAAAGGAGCAGAATCAAGGAGCTCTCTAAAACTAAATTCAAGGAAGGTAGCTTATTGTGAAGAACTGATACTTCTAAAACTAGTTTTTAGTTGTTCATATACCACATTCCACTTCCTAAATATTTCAGTTCTAGCACATGGGGAGGCACTGCAGTAGAAAAGTGGGTCAAACTCTCCCCTCACCCCAAAGTGCACCAAGTTTCGATTCAAGTAGGAGACAATCTTGAGGCAACCCAATGTTCTAATTAATTTATGACCTTACCTTCTTCTTCTATCCTTGTATTGGACAAAACACAGGTAAAATTACATGAACTTTTCATTTAATTAGCCATTTATTTGCTGCTTATCTAAATTTCCTTTCCAGAAAAAACCAAAGGGTTCTACTTTTCTGTTTTCCTGCAATACATCATCCCTAAATTACAGACACCTATGAACATCACTATGCTTTGTTGGGTAATTACCCTAATAGCAGTGAGATATATGAACAGTTTTCTGAACCTCCAACTTTAATATTCAGTATCATTGAATTAAATTCCTAAATAATTTAACAATCGGATTGAAGTTTGAACCAAACCCAGCAATTAGCAACTACACAATCGGAGCCCCACAAACTATTGAAGATTAATTTTACAAAATATGATGAATTAGAATTACCTTAGAACTTAACAAGGCTGTTCTGTTCCCATGCGACTAACGAAATTAGAGGCCACAGCATCCCAACACCATTCAGCGTTGTAGACGACGATTCAGAGCCCTCGTTCCCAACAGTCGTAGTTCTACAAAGGTTACTATAACACCAGAAGACGTCGACGTTTTCCTCGAGTTCTGGAGAGGAAAATGAATGAGGACAAGAAATTGGGTTTTCTTGTGGTTCAAATGTTCACTTAATGAGCCCATTTTTCACTTTGGGCTTTGCACAATATCCCGAATGTAGTGGCCCAAAGGAGCTTCACTTTCATGCGTGTGAGCCTCTACTTGAGCTGGGCAATCCCTATGATCCATTTGTTCTTCTTCATGAGAAAATAATTGCAATTTTGCTAATAAACTTTTTTGAGCTGTTATTATTTTTGCGAAACATTAATTTTCATTGAAAGCTAAGTAAAAACTCAGAATGCATATACCAAAAACAAAGCCTCAAATGGAAGTTCATGCAACATAGAAATTCTAAAAGACATAAACAAATAGGCACAAGCATTAAAAGACAATGAGAATAAAATATACAGCTTGGACCGATACCCTAGCAACAACCAGTGCTTCAAAAAGATCAAGGTAGATAAACAATTTTTCAAATCAAACATCTTGTGACAACAAACACCTCAAAATGAAGGGCTCCAAGACATTCCAGAAAACATCACAGTATCCCCAAATGGAGGTTTTTGCACTTTAAAAAAGTTATTATTCACAAATAAATGTGAGCCCGACTCAAACAACAAACATTAATCATTATTGAAAATGATTTGGGGAAGATGTCAATTAATTGATGAATCATCCTCCTAAAAGAGCACAAATTCATCATTATTGACCTTTGCTTAACCTCTAATTTTAGTATCCATCGTGTGACACGTGCTTCCAAGTCCCATGCTTAACACCCCAACAAAATAAAAAGTGAAAAAGCACTTTTCTTTGGTACAACATAAACAAAGAAATTCCTTGAATAAATATAAAAATGTTTCGATTTATCAATAAATAAATAACCGATGCCCGCTGCCGCGGGTGCGCCCTGGCACGCATGCAAAAGAAAAGAGATTTTGTGACCGTGACCGTTGGAGCTGCATCGGCTTTTCATGCGCCGTCACCGCACCGGATCGTCTCCCCACAGTTGCACCCTCTCAAGGAGGTGCGGGAAACGCCGCTTAACCACCCACTGGCAGCTTAAAGCGTAGATTGCATTTCCACGTGCTTTGGAAGTGAAAACACGCGCTCGCGCGTAGGATTTAAGCTGATCTCTCAACAGTCAACACCTGAGAGTCCCGAACCTTTGCTTCTGGAGGACATTTCGTCCTTTCACACCATCACCTCCTCCATCTCCACTCCAACTCAACTGAATTTTTTTTTCCCTCCTGGTGGATGGTCTCTCTCAGCGAAAAAGCACGGTCCTTTTTGCTAACTTACGCCGGGATCACTCTACGCACACTCCACAACCACGCCTCTGCAATGAGGCTCCGATCGTCTACGGCTCTCGCGCTGCTTCTTCTTCTTCTCTGCTCTTTCGTCGCTGTTCCTACCGGGTCCACCGAGTCGAACGAGTCGAACTATGTGGCGGAGGCGGCCAATGCCGAGTCAATTAACTCGT